TAGCCTTTTTTACAATAAACATTTGTTGTTGAAATATAGAAAAAAAATACCTGTCAATAGCAGCATGATTCCTGTCGATGATGAACCACCACAGGTAGTCCTTCACAATTGTGTCTTTTTCCTCCAATGACTTCACATATCTGAAACACCCAGCAGTTTGCAACATGGCACTGTTCTCTGCCAGCAGGTCTCGCAGATTCTCCAGGGACGCTGCATTCTGAATCTAAAAGAAACACACACATATATATATAGTTTACTGTATTATGCAGGTTTCAGTAATGTGCTTTCGAACATGTACGAAAGTAATTAAAAGTAATCATTAATTAACATGGTCTAAAGAAAAGTTTTACATGAACAAAACCTTTCTTTTTACCAACAAAATCTCTGCCCTGGCCTCATACCTCTCGTAGCACTTTCCCTATTTCCTCATCTGTAATGTCTGCTACTGATGACTTGAAACTGGATTTCCCTGAGATGAAGCTGACCAGATCTTCCGACAGAAAATTTGGACCAGGACCACCGTGTACTATGGACAAGGCTATCATCTGGCCGGCAAAATAATATTCATCCCCTCTTATTGCTGCCAGTAGATATGCAAAATAAACAATTATTACATTTGTTTCTATATTTTAAGGCATTGGATGGTTGAATTATGTAGTAGTTTACACAAAATAGAACCTGTTGTATTGTAAACAAGGTAGCGGCTCTCCACAGGTCCATCAAATATGGGTCGTTTGTTCAGCTCTTTCATGAGCAGTGAGAGGAATTCCCTCTTCGGCCCGCCTGTGTCGACACATTCCTCAAACCTTCCAGCATCATCAGAGAACTTAACTAGGAGGTCATAGTTTTCAGCAAATGTTCCCCTTTTGAGTCCCCTAACAGCCCCATCCCAGATGTCAGAGCGACATATGTTAAATCTGCTGACATGTTTATGGTCAATTTGGAGTGTCAGATTTTTTATTATTTCTGAAACTGACAGTAATTCCACCCTGAAACCAAATAGAACAAGACTATTTTTACTTCATAAACATACTGTGTATGGTAAATTACAGCAGATTAATTTAACCACAATAAAACTCCACAATTGTTGAGCAAGTGAGTTCTTACTCTGTATCCTTTGGAATTATATGGCTGTCCACGTCCACGTCTTCTTCATCCTCGATCACAATGGGTGAATACAACTCAGTGTATTTTCTAAGAAATTAACAAAAAAAAATACATTTTGGTATTTTTAAATAAATAATATTTGTGATTTGAAAAGTGACGAACAATACCTGTAACTTGTAGTTTCCATCAGAGTTGTTAAATCAGTGGGCGACTGTTCATCATTATTATTTGTACTGTTCAAGACAGGTTCCCATATCTGAGGATTAAAAAAAAAAAAGTATTACTGTGATACTTCAGACTATGGCAGAAAAAAACATATACAGTACAAACAGTTATATACATTAGAGGGAATGGTTATTTCAAAATATAGCAAAATATAACCATTTAGGTGTTAAATTTAAAATATGAGCAATGCATGGGAAAAAACAAAAAAAACAAAACACAAGTATATACCACTGTATCAGCTGTATTGAACTCTGCAGCACTTCTGCTCATGATTATCACATCTGAGTCTGACTCCTCGGAATCTGTGGTGAGCTTCTGAGCTGGGAAATACAAGATCAGATATTAAATTATTATTTTGAACCAATACCAGAGTGTTCCTCTAGGTTGGTAATTAGTCTCAGGTTAACTCACAACAGGTCATGAAATCTGCAGCTGTACAAATGTACACGGTGATGCGTTGGTACGCCTTCCCCACTGCCTCCTTGTATTCTTTTAAAGAGAATGGGTTGTTTGTTCCTGGTATATTTTCAATCTTTGACCCATCAGGATACAGCAGAAAGTAGGGACCTGGTGGTACATTCCTGTCAAAGGCCTTTAATTTTGTCAGCGCTGCTTTGTGCAGTTCTTTGGCATCTATCCCTGGTTTGACTGAAAGGGGGAGTGTCTTTCCTCTCACAGGACTCAGGACTCCATCTTTCAGCCTCATAAGGCCCACCGAAATCTACAGAGAAACACAGAAGAAAGCTTCTGTTGACTATCCTAATTTAATTTATTTTGGGCTACATATTAGGAATACACGGCCAAGTTGACAACCTGCAAGCTCATTCACATACACATTCATAGAGAGGTTACCTTCACAGGAGTTTCTTCCACAAGGGTTTCCATCAGCGGTTCTTTTTTCTTTTTAAAACATAATCGCCTCTCCTTCTCTTTTAATATTCTAAAATTCCGGAATGACTCCACTGCATCCTCTTTCTTTATGCCTCCTGCATCAAACAGAGCCTCTTTAAAGCGAATTTAAGAATCATTCAGGAATCTGACAGAGGTACAATATAGGACACATTTGTGTTAAATAAAGTTCGACTGAAACATTACCTTGACTTGTGCTGGGTTTGTCAAAGTCTTGTAGGAATTTAATATTTTTGCCACAAGAACTGCAGAATACTGTTTCAGATGGTAACCCAGAGCCACAAAAAGGACAATACATCGTAACCTGTCAGGGGCGAGAATGGTTGTCGCTAAGATTAATTTCGTAACTTTAGGTTAAGAATAGCAATCCACAAATTATTTACGACGGTCAGACAGTGACATAGATCCTGGCCACAAAACAATAAATTACTTTTACTTACGTCTTCAACTTCTCTGTTCCTTTACTTTTCACGTTGTAGTTTTTCTTCTTCACTTGCCGCTTGATCGGTCCGTCGGAAAATAGAGTCCCGCGGTCACTTCCGTTGTGACTTTTTAATGTGTTGTGACTTTTTAATGTGTTGTGACTTTTTAATGTGTTGTGACTTTTTAATGTGTTGCAGCTTTTTGATGTGTTGTGGCGTTTGTATTTGTTGTGGCGTTTGCATTAAAATAGAGTCCCGCAGTAATTTCCGTTGTGGCTTTTGTTGGTGTGTTGTAGCTTCTTTTGGTTTGTTGTGACTTTTTGTTTTGTTTTGTCGCATTTGTATTTGTTGCGGCGTTTGCGTTTGATGTGACCCCTCTCGGCTTCCGTACCCTTTGGGTCTGAGTAAAAGATCTCAGCGCAGTTTAACAGGACTGCCAGATAGTCAGCAGATCCTGTGGAAGAGCCAAAATTGTCCCTCATCTGTGTCCTGCAGCATCACAGCAGTGTCCAGTGGGAACTAGGTGAACAGGAAAGGCCGTGTTCTTACGCCTCTCTGGTATCTTAGGTCGTTTTCACACTGCTAGTTCGATTATTTGGTCCGCACCAGGCAATAAAATTGTTATTATGTAGCAAATACACTCCAGTGTGGTCCGCGTTCACACCGGCAAACGAACCAAAACTGATTCGATTGACGTGTCTCTGTTTCCCCGGTAAAACAGCGATACTCCAGTTATCAACACCGATGTTCCTGTTAATACCACGGGCCGTCCTCATCTCAAATTATCACCATGAACTCATAAAACAGCAACATGTAGAACTTTGTACAAACTCACCGCATCAGCCCAGAGTTCGGGTAACAGCAGCAGCCAACAGCACTCACAGTAGCGTGCAGCTCCTCAGCACCCTAGTGCATGAAAACACATCCTCCACCAGAGAAGTTACATAGTGTGGCTTTAAATTTCTCAGAAGTGAAATTATTCTAGAGGCCAAAGTGTAAAACTAGGGCATAGGTCTTACTGACTTTTATGATGAGTACGTCAGTGAATGTTTTGGCAAAGTTTTACAAATGAATGTAAAACTAATTTTATGTCACACAATAATAAATTGTGTGCATTCATATAGGTGGCGCTGTATCCCTGATAACTGTATTTGACATATCAATGGAATAAGGGTCATGCAGTGTATAACTGATAGAAATGTCATCACAATCGGACAAAACATGTGCATATAATAATTTTTACAATATTTTTGGGGGGATTCTCTGTGCCCCTGCTGGCCAACCGTGAAAAATACACCATGACTGTAATAGACATTTTTGCTTATAATCATGCAAAGAATTTATTCCCCGACTTTGGTCCAAGTCCGATAATGTTGACATTTCATGTCTAAAGGGGCGTTCACACCAAAGCGTCAAAAAACGCCTTGACGCCTCTATTTGGACGCGTTTGCATTTGAGTTTAGACGCCCCCGACGCGCGTTTTTTAGACGCGCGTCCGTTGCCCTGGAAACAAAAGCCCGGTCCCGGTCTTTTCCCGAAACAATATCAGACCAGACTGAGAGAGTGTTTTTATGACATAAAACATCAGCGGAGGAGATCGGGTCGACGACTGGGGCGTATATATATTTATACTCCGCTAATGATAATAATGTGGCCGTGACAGGTCACCGAAAAAACAGGAAATGAAGGCGTTATTCGCCGGCGTGCTACGGGCGAACCGTAAGGAGTATCCCAAAAAAATTTGGCAACTTCTGTGAGTTCATGTCTGTAGATGTGACATGTCAAATTTGAGCTCATTTGGACCAAACCCCGGGGACTTGAATCTTTTTGTAGACCCCCAAGTCAAAACGGCGGCGAATGTTTGATCCAATATGGCCGACTTCCTGTTCGTCATAGGGTCATGCTCCAATTCATCTTTTGGCTTGTCTCATTGTTCTCTATCACTGTCCCGAATTTCGTTTCCCTGCGACAAACTTTGCCTGTCCCCACTCCCATAGGGGTCCAATTCTAGGCGGCGCTGTTGAGTCGGGTCACTCGGGTCATTGTTGCGATGCCCATTTTATCGAATTTTTCGCCGGGCTGATCGATCTGGACCCCGGTTTGGGGACTTTTCGTCGATGTTCAGGGGGTCAAAAATGCGATTCAATGTGGGGAAAAAGAAAAAAAAAAGTAAGAAACCGACAAAGAACAATACCCCTCGCCCCTAACTTTGTTAGTGGCGAGGGCCAATAACTTCATTAAATTAATAGCAGTTTTGAACTTCTTTACAAAAGCCAAGACAAAACTAAATTTCCCAAATAATAATAATAATTAAAAAAAACAACACCTTCCAACACATATGTAAAAATTGTTTATTTACAGTAAGAAGCAGTGGGGGCGTTTGTTGTAACACCAGGATTGACTGATAAATTATTTTCGTGTAGAAATGTTGTCTTTATAAAATGAAGTATACATTGTTTTCAAATTAGCATAAACACTCAAAAAGCCAGTTTCTTCATCAGAAGATACACCCTAGAGTCCACTTCAAAGCCATGAAGGTTGTTGGCATCTCCTTGAAGCCTCATTAAAAGACCACCATAAGAAACATATGCAGACCTACAAACAGCAACACATGAACATAGTCAGGCAGATTGGATAAGTAGTCAACTGGATAGCTTGTTAAGGTCAAGACAGTCAAGCCTAGTTCAGTTTTTTTTTACCTTTATTATAGAGCATGCCTGGATGATGGATTACACAAACATATTGCACATTGACACAAACATGTATTATTGTAGTACACTATACATATTTTCATAAACTATGCTTCCACTTACAGGCGAGTAGCTGCTTCTGTTGAAGTTTCATCACCTTCTATCTTGTAAACCTTTCCATACATTACATACTCAAATTGGTCAGACCTAAAACAATATGACACACACATGAATCTAAGAAACACTGCACATAATCATTACCATAGAAGTTTCCACAAAACATACCTAGATGGTCTGTCATCTTGAGGGTTGTATTCTCCATCATCTGGTGTACCATCCTCATATAAAGTGCTGGCAATAACCAATCTGAATTTGTCACCTCATGGCAAAATAAGAATTGGACCAAAATTAATGTTTCAATCATACTTATTTAAAAAAAAAGAAAGAAAAAAAAGTGCAAACAAAACATAAATTGATCCTTACCGAGATCCACTGGGTAGATTTGAATATTTACGTCCAAGATAAGGTCCATTTTAAAAGATTCACTTTCACAGTGCAGGCGAGAAACTGCAAAAATGCAAACCCAGTTCAATCAATCAAAACTTTGTTTGTATGCCACTTTTCATACGTACACGATGTACAACAAAGTGCTTCACACAAAAACAAATTAGCAACTAAAATTTTGGAATAATATGGATCAAAATTCAATACATCATATGTAATGCATGCACTTTACCTCTGTCAAACTTCTTGCCATCTGGATCTATATCTTTTACATCAAAAATGTCTTCAAACAGTATTCCAGCCATCTGTATTCAGGAAAAAAGTGATATTATAATTACTTATGGCGAAACCTACCACAAAAACATAACACAACGCGCTGATATAGTGAAGCTAGAACTGTGTTTATTTCACGGACTCAGAATAAGGACACCCAAATAAACAAAACAAAAAACAATGTTAAGCAAATTAAAAACAGGAAGCATAGAAAGCACACAATTGTTTTATTATTTAAATAGCAAATACAGTGGAAATTTAGCTCTTAGCTTTAGCCTAATATAAAGTTTTACTTTGACTTACCACGTGTAATGATCGTAATGTGCTACGGATGCAAATACAAATAAACCCCAAACTCTAATATATGTGAAAACGAGTCGTTTTAGTATGGAGATGCAATTTAAGTAGTAATTTCATTCATTGCTATGTGAAACACAAGTAAACCGCGCCGCACAATGTGCTCAACCTTTGACACAGGACTACTTCCGGTTACTTCCGTTGAAGAAAATATATGAAATATTTTTTGCATAAATTGTACAACAACACAACATAATATTATGTGACATTTGTCACTGTGCCCGAAATACATATATTATTTATTAATTTATTTTAGATAATTGTTTGTTTTTTGATATAAACGTCACCAACAGCTGGTTGCTAGGGACCTTTTTTCAGCGTCTTTTCCTGTTGCCAGCAAGACGCTAATGCTTCTTGCTTCACATGACCACAACGAATTAATTTCTCTCGATTAGTAAAGACTCTGTGGTTCCCTTTTTGTTATGGTCATAATGATTTGTAGATAACCTACGTGCGGTGCAAAAGCTATCCAGGTAATGATCCTAAAGTGTAAAATCCTTGACCTAAAGCTAGCTAACAACATTTTGCTAACGGATGCTTATGTTGTCTTTTAAAATGTATTTAAGACACAAGTAGGGTAATAAATGTTAATAGAACGGCAATTTAACGTTAATGAATGTACGTTAATGAATGTATAGATTTTTAAACTGCTAAGATAGCTAACTTAGCTAGTTGGTTTGATACAAATTCGTTAAAAAAAAAAAAAAACACACACACAAAACACACACACAACGTTTTTTTTTTTTTTTTTTTATTATTTTATTTTATTTTAGTTACTACCACGTCGTATGGTGAGCTTTTTTTTCTTTTTTTTTTTTTTTTTTTTTTTTTTTGAAACGCAAGGTTATGCTTCATTTGTGTGCAGATGTTATTATTATTACAGAAATAACAGCAGTGAAGTGGTTGGCTGCTTTTGTGGCTACCTGGGTCACATACTGAGCAGTTTTTGAAACTTGTAATTTTTACAACATATCATGGGATTTTGACCAAATAATAAGTGCTGCATGTGCAGTTGAAAGGACACTAGTTAAGGGGCTGTTGAATTTTGTGAAATGAGCTATTTGTTTTTCCCGTATCCATGGAGACCGTGCAAGAGGCTAAGTAGCTAGCTGAAAAGCTAGCTGTGGACATTTCACCATCCAAAACACCAGAGTTGCAGCAACATCAACTGCAACAGTTTGCTACAGCAGAACTTGAATTTCCCTCAAGATCAATAATTTCTCTCTCTCTCTAATTTACAGAGGATCCTCCATGTTTATTTGACATTTTCTTGCTGGTAAGGAGTACATTTGAAAAGTTTCTGTCGTTCACATGAGTTTCAAGGAGACAGGCGAGATGGGAGACATCTTGGCAACAGAAGCAGATCTTCTTGGGATGATCAAAGAAGTAAGTTGACAAGTTGGTCTTATTTGTATATACTATATACTACAGTTGTTAATCTGAATTAACCATGTTTTATGAACTGTGTGGTTTAATAGTATCTTAAATTTGAGGATTTTAAAGAGACTGTTGATAGCTTTGACAAGGAGTGCAAATGTAAAGGAAAACTGGTCTCTAAGCCTCAAGGTAGCTCACTGAGAGACTCAAAAATGCATGCCATCCAGGTAAAACAATTGTTATGTAGTAGGTGTACAAGTGCTTCCATACCTATAACGCTCAGTTTTTCATGTTACAGAGAGACCTTCTTATCTCTTTTGATGATGGAGATCATAAGGTATTCTTTGAACTGTGGACAAACCATATTGAGGTGAAAGATACAGACACCACTGCTCAAAGTTTGGAGTTTTACCTTTACATTCACTTCACTATCTACCCACTGAGGAAACAGGTTAGTCACTTATGAAAAATATTTTTTAACTTCTAAAATTGCTATATTGGCGTGTAATATACACATTGAATATTAACCATGTTTGGACCTAAATACACTAAAAGTGTGACTAGCCATACCTTTTTATTATAAATGAATTCATAGTAATGGGTAAACAAATGAACTACTGGACTACTGTTAGAAGGGACTAGTTTCAAATAAAACAGAAATAACAAATGTCTTAAATATCCATGGATAGCCAAAAAAGGTTGTCATATTTAAAAGTGAACTATTTTCAGTTTGTGGGACCATGGTAGAACCAGATTAAATGACTTGGAGCAAAGTGTTTCACAGTTTTAATACATGCTCCAATGTGTGTTGTGGTCTTCTAGACTTTGCGTTGTGTGTGTTAAGTTTCGCCCATCAACCCAAAACATACACACTGCACAGTAGGGTGGTCCATCAAAGCATGGTAAAAAATAAAGTTTCAGATAACCTTGATTAGAACCCTGCATTAGGTTTTAACATCCAAAAGATAATTTAGGAAGAAATTTGGAAGGAAATTGAGATGTTTTAGCAGTTGCTCAAGCTGCATGAAGTTTCCTGGAAATTGACTAATTTTGCGTTTTCGACAGATTTGGGTTCATTACAAAGTAATTAGTTAAAGTTACTAGTTACTTCTCCCAACAAATAACTGAGTTATTAATTGAGTTACTCCATTATAGAAGTAACTTACTCACCAGGGAAAGTAACTATTGTGCTACATTTTTTTAAGGGTGCACTCACACTAGGACTCTAGAACCGTGCCATGCTCAGGCACGATTGCCTAGGGTTCTGTGGCCCGCACTCACACCTGCACAACTGATCCAGGCTGTGACCTGATGATGGCAGATGATTTTGTCACCACCAGCACAATGCGTTTCTTTGAAGCTCTTGACGGTAAATGGTCACATTTTTATATGCGTTTTTCCACTTTGAAGGCTCAGAGTGCTTTACAACAAGGAACCACTCACACACCAGTGTATGCAGACACTGGTGGACTAAGTATCTTGTCCAAAGACACAACAATAGCATTCATCTGTGGGAGCTGGAATCACAGTGAATCTGACCGCTCAACCAATGATGTTTATGTCGCGGTGGGATTCAAACCTTCGGATCAAATACTCTTACCAGCTGAGCTGAGCTGAGCTGAGCTACTGCTGCCCTGTTCTGCCAAAAACATTTTTAACAATTCCCCCAGCAGACTGGACTGATGATGTAGACTTTAAGATGTCTGCTAAAATTGTGCATTCCAGGAAAGTTGCCAGTGATGTTGCTGAATGGGGGGTGAAGCTTATTCAAGATTTTAACTGTAGCCTAACAAAGAATGAAGATCAGAAACAGAACAGGCAGTATTTTTTTATGCAAGTTTCAGTTTGTGTTTGCAGAATGAAATGACAAATTATTCAAATATGCCTTATTTATTTGATTCGCTATGTTATAGTATAGGCCCTACTCATGCAATTTTCAAGCGTCTTGAGCAAACCTAAATATTAATTAATTTGCATAAAATTTAGACCCAAATATTTTGGCCAGATATGGAACCAAATGCAGGGTTCTAATCTAGAGAATTAAAAAATAAAAAATAAAATAAAAATTGGACCACCCATCTGCACAGTAGGTCCAGCTAAGTTAATCCTGACCAAGCTTAGCTCAAGATCTGCAGATGGGTTCTGGGCACTGTGGTGCCGTGCCCACTGCTCCTGGCAGGTTTCCCCAGAGGTATTGAAGGATGGGACAAATGCAAAGGATGAATTTCCCTGTGGAGATGATAAATTGTACCTCAGTGTCTCCCACCTTTTTTTTTTTTCTGATGAGCTACCGTTACAAAACAAAAATGACAGAGAGCTACAAGTTTCTCTACAAGGTCACAAGAAACTGAGTATATATAAGAGCCATGGCAAGCCTTAGATGAGGTACAGTTAGAGGCCTATAAAACATAAACCATTATCTGTTTATAAATGATACATGTACAATGGTAAAATAATGGTAATGGAATTTAATTAATTAGATTTTACTTAGTCAGCACAATACTTATAATTCAAAAATCAAGCTACTTGGAAAGGGGTGGGAGCTACAGGTTGGAGACTCCTGTTGTACCTAAACCTTGTCAATGCATATGTGTTTGAGAGGTGGGTTTGTGTAGTGAGCTACAAGTTATACACTGTGTCATATACACTGCACACTGCAAGCTCAGTTGCTCTATTAGATCTTCCCTAAGAAATAAGCGTTATTAAAGACTGCATATGTGGTGCATGACTTAGACCTGTGATCATGTTTACTGAGCTCAAAACATCATATGGTGTGCGTTTTAACAATATGGTCACTAAGCTGTGCTGTTGAGCTTTTTAAGAATCCTCTTTTACATATGAAATTATGGTATATGTTAAACCAGAATAAATAATAATAATAATAATAATAACCCCAGTGTTATTATATTAGGATTTATTCATATCTGAGTATGATTTTATTTGTTGTTCCAGGAGCGAGGTGACCTTGAGGAAAGGGTATCTCTTTTTAAACAGTTTCTTGAGACACGAGGAGCAGCACTCAGTCAAACTACAGAATTCCTTCCCTACTATGCACTACCATTTGTTCCCAATCCTACTGCACACCCTTCGTTTAAAAATCTTTTCCAGGTAGGAATTGTAGTTTTTCATTTTTTCAATCATTTTGTATAATTTCATCCCATTTGTATTTTGTGTTGATTTAGGATTCCTGGATACCAAAGTTGAAGAAAAAGCTTGAGCAATTTCTGGAAATTACATTGAAGCCACCAAATAGTCCTAGACTTTTAAGCTTATATGTATCCTTTAGTTTACTTCATGCTAATGTCTTGATGCCATGCTGTGTGATTGCCTGAAAAGGGTTCTTCTTTGTTATGCTTTAACTTACACTTACGTTATACTGAACAGTTTGTAACTGTGTGTAATGGCAGAATATTTCAGCCAGTTGACTTCCTGGTACATAAAGGTTTCATTGAAACATTGCATGATATTATACTGTAGATCCTTTGCTAATACAATTACTAATCAAATGATCTTTAAACAAATACATTCAGTGAAGACACCGGCCTCTCCATACAAGATGTAGGATATATTGTAAACCTATCGCTAAGTAAGAGATTGCGCGGGATTATAGCTCTACTTGACTATAGAGCAAATATTTTTTAAGTGTATTCTTTAACAATGTCATTGTAGAGGGACGGTGGCAGAAGTACAAAAGGTTTGTCACTTTTCATGCCCCATTAAACCTTGTTGAATCTTACCATATAAGCTTATTTGCAGTCTTTTTAATGAACAATTCAAATGATGGCAATGAAGACACATATTTTCCTAATTGTGAAAAGCAAATTTGAGATCTAGACTGTAAACAAACGTTTGTATCTACTTTACTATTTAAAGTTAAAACTTTCCATGTGAATAGAAAATTGTTGTACATGACTGTAGAGGAAAGCATTTTACCAGTCTATAATTTGAAACCCACAAGATAGATTCTTAAATATGACTGTAATATGTTTTTTGTGTCCAGAAGCCATACAGCAGCTGCAGATCCAGTTGTCTGAGTCAGATTGGTCCCTTGCAATTTACAAAAAGAAGTTTAATAAGAGTCAGGCTGACTACCACAACCTGATTGGAATAACCGCTGAGCTGGTCGACGCATTGGAGGCAACTGTTAACGGAAAAATGGTTGGTCAAACACAAGTTACTACTAACTATTATAGATACATAAAATAACAACAAAAATCTCTGATTACATCTTGTGTGTTTTTGTGAGCTTTTAAAAAAAAACAGTATGCTATCCCACCACCATCCTTGTAGACTATTTATACTCAAGACTGTGTGGTGTGCTTTTGTAGATGTCCCCTGAGGACCTGCAAAGGGTGTGTGTTCGCCTGTTCAGCAGCCAGATGAGGCAGAGCATGGTTCAGAGCACAGACTTCACCAGGCCTGGCACTGTAAGTATAATGAGACCATCTTTCCTCACTCCACACTTTACACCTGGTATCAAACAAGACCCAACAACACAGCGGAGCAAAACAGTTCCTAAAGCCATTTTATTAATGAAATGCATGGGCATGACATGTCTGCAGCAACACAATGTATGCAGCAAAGTCAATTGCAAATGTGTCAAACCAAATATCATTACATGCAAAAGATGTAGAAGTGTAAAATAGGACTTCCCTGTTCTTGGTCAATGAAGTTAAATGTTTGTTTGTATATTATATTACACTAGAAATGTTTTGAGCTTTTTAAACAACATTGGGTGATATACCTTACAATATTTCTTATGTCCCAAGGATATTCTGATGAGCACAAGTGAGCAAGTGTTTTGGAGAGAGAGGAATAAATATACAGGGTTACTGAGATGTGTATACCGGTAAATGCTACGCTTTGGTGTAGTGGTTTAAGGCATTGTACATAAGTAGTTGTTACCACCTTTGTGTCATGGATTTGCTTTCCAGCCTTGACAGTTTAAATGTCTCCTGCACCCTACAGCTGTACTGGTCAAGCCTTCGGGCAAAATATCTAAAAAAAAAAAAAAAAAAAAAAAAAAAAAAAAGTTTGCAAATAAAACTAATAACGATAATGCAAGTCCTTTAACCTGATGGCATTTATCAGTAATATTAAATATAGAAAAGTAAATATCTGAAACGCCCATTTGTGAAAGTTTATTGCTGCTTTTAGCACACACCCATCATGCTTATCATCAGTTGCTCATATTGAACTTTGTTGTGCAATTTTTTTGTGTTGCTTTACTGAACAAGTTCTTTCTCTGTGTTGTTTGTTTGTGTGCTGTGTTTGTGTGTGTGCTGTGTTTAACCCACAAAGGGATATTACTCTATGAGTCCTTATGATGATGGCTATGTAAGTTTATTATTATGTTCCACGTTTCCATTTTTAGTCCCTGACATCACCCAGGTCATCTCATTTTGCTTTTGCCTGTTTCTTCCTTCTCTCTTTGGTACACTCCCATTCTGTGCCTGCATCCTAGACCTTTACTATACAAGTAACCAATTGTCTTGTTCTGGTATTCAAGTAGGTCTATGGCTAAAACTGTGTGTTATCTTTCTGGAGAAAAAATAAATTTATTAGACTAGATCATGTCCTTATGTCATATAGTTCCCAAAAAGTTGCAGTCATTGTCCATTGTTCAGTCTTTGGCCTTTCTTTTGAGTAATGTAAATGTTGTTCCAATGCTGCATTTACCAGCATTAGTGCTTTTAGTATTGGAGTACTGGAAAGCTCAAAGATGCGGATTTGATTACATTACAACCTCTCTCACGCTCGGGTTGCTTAAACGACAGGTATTTGTAAAGATAAAATAGAACCTAGTTGCTGAATGAAATGTAGGCTTTTTGATCTCGTGACAGTCAAAGTTGTGTTTATCTGAATAGAGTAATCAAATCTCAGGTGAAAGCCTAGGCTCTATGGACAAAGAGGCCTCAACAATAAGAGTGAGGACTATAGAGGAGGAGTATAGAGGACTATAGACAGCACTTATGTAAACTGTACATTGTTGAGAATTGAGGTCAACTTGTTATTGTTTAGGCTCAACCAAAAGTCTAAATCTAATCATTCATCATTACTCAATTGCATTCGCATAGAGTTGTGTAGATTACTGCAGGGCACTGACTTGAACATGCCCTCTTGGCCTCCAGCATGCGTCGGGGCAGGAGGAATGTTTAGAGTAAAAGGAGAGGCATTTGAGAAGGAATCCAGGTATCAAAGGCCTCCCATAAGCCCTGCTGTAGTCCAATGCAAATATGTGGTTAGTCTGCTGGATATCTGAGAAGACATGGTTCACTCACATAACCTTTCACAGGCCTAGCTTAAAGCTGGATTTTAGGTTAAATTTCAAGGCCCAAAATTACAAATTGAAAACCTCTCAAAACGTTACTAAACATCTCAACTATACTCTAGTCTGCTACACTAATAGCATGGGGATCAAGTTTGGGGACAGTGCATGTTACACAAGCATGCATGCATGCATGTATTTATTATATCTGATATGTATAGGTATGTAAAATAATACATATCTGTTTTATTTGTTTTGAATTAAAGATTAGTAAACCAAAACTAAGAATATAACAATGAAACACTTATATTTAGTATTTGTGAGGTTAACAACTGTTCAATTTTGTTTTATAAATCTTTACCAAGGCCTCCTCAATCCTCAGAGCATCCCTTGCACCTCAGTAAGTATTTTAAACACATCTTTCCTTTTGAGATTCTCTCATTTGATGTCACTGACAATGGGACTTGCTGTTTCCCAGAGGACCTAAGGAGGTGCCAATGCTGCCCTCACTGGACTATGACAAACTGAAGAAAGATCTGATGGAGGGGACAGACAGGCTCAGAGCTCTGCTTCTACAAGCACTGCGCTGGGTAATTCATAATTTATTAGCGAAAAACATACCATCAGAAGTTTTTGAATGTTTGAACATGAATTGCTCTTAAATAATCTAAACCAAACTTGCTGTTTTAGAGACTCACAAGGTCGCTTCCTGGTGAGCAGAGAGACACGGTGCTTCAAGCTTATATCAGCAATGATCTACTTGACCGCTTCAGCAATGATCAGGTGTGGCCAATATCTCTGTAATAATAGACATTTTGAGATAGTTTTGTACTATGCTTTTAGCCTGTATACAAATGTGGTGAGTGAATGTCCAGTGAGTGAGTAAGTGAGTGAGTGATCAGTGGTGGTCACTCAGAAGGGCCTATGGTGCATATTGTAATCCTCTCTTACTCCAATCTATCACACCGCCTAGTATGGTGAGTGACTATAGATAATTAATACTGTGGAATTTAGCCAGACTTGTCAGGTTCTATATTGCAATACAAATTATAATATTAAGGTATTATTATTACATAAGCAAATTTGTGGTATTGAGATGAAAAACATAATGCTTGGATTGCGTTATCAGACCCATACTCACTTTAATTTAGGGTTTCATCAATATTTCACATTTTAATTTATCTTGTACAGTGTGCGCTCACTAAGGCTATGGTAAATAACCCTTGAACAAAAGAGTAAACGATCCTTACCTCCCAGCTCAAGCCTTTGTTCGAGTCCGTACAAGTCCTTAAAATTCAATAGGATGCTAATAGTACATAGAATTTGGCATAATGGAAAATAACTATGTACTTCAGTATTACCCCTAGGATGTGTGTCTGAGATGTAGAGCTTCGTAGGCTTTTCTTTATGGTATTTTATGTATTTTCTTATCTTTTTTCAGACAACTGTGCTTCATTTAATGTGGTCTAGAAATGATATTGTCCGTCAGTTCATGGCTCGCCTGATCAATGCTTTTGCTTCTCTTGCAGAGGGTAAGTGGTCCAGTCAGTAAACAATCTCAGTTAATGCTTGGCTCGGGACATTACGAGTTCGGAGTCTTTTGTTTCAACTCAGCCCTGTTCAGTCTCAGGATGCCCAAAACCCCTTTTTTGGGACCCACCTTGTGCAAAATTATGAATCTGTTAAGTGGTGCTATAGTCAATAGAATACTGACATGATGAGGAATACAACAAAATAACCTTGCATGACAATGCAAATCAACAGGGAGAGACAGAACAATATGTGATGGGAAAAGGTCCCCAGAATGGTTACTTCAGATCTTAAGTAATATTATATATTATTACATATATTATTATAAATATGATATATTATATAAACATGAACTGTGCCAAGTTTTAATAAAATCCACAAAAGTTAAGTTGAATTTTTATCCTGAAATTTGTCAGATTCCCATGGCATGGGCCAAATTTCTGAGAATTCATCTTGGGCTTAATTTGAAGCTGAAAAATTTGAGATGTTTTTTATTGAAACTGTAATTCCATGCCGATGTATCACAATCAGTTTGTAGAGAGGATTTGTCCCTGAGAATGCTATTTTTTGATTTTTTGTATTCCTCATCATGTCAGTATTCTTTGTTCCAAAGTTCACGACTATGTGAGTGAGTATATAATGTCAGTATGTGAGTTGTGTGGGTCCTGAAACTGAGCCCTAAAAAAGGCCCCAAACTTTAATGTCCCGAGGTGTTCAATACATGAAAAATAACAGTAAGAAAAAGGTAGAAAATAATCGAGGTGGATGGATCTGGCTCCCAGATTTATACTACCTTATGATGAAAACGCCTTGTGCTTGTCTTTTTAGGCCGAGTTTACCTCTCTCAGATTCCAATTCTTCTGCAATTGATGACAGAGGCACTCAAGAAGGAGGAAAAAGACTCACAGACAAGAGAATATGTTCTAATTGCACTACAGAAACTCAGCCTCAGGTGAAATCATTTTGAATTTTCTTGTAATAAAAAAATAATTCAAAATAACATCTGGATTCATTTGTACTGTGCTGTAGGAGGAGTCAGCAGACTGCCATGATACAGAAAGGTCTGATTGGCTGGCTCGTGGATGAATTGCAGGACTATGACTGTCTCAGCGACTGTACTCTGGAGTACACCACAGCTCTACTCATGAACCTCTGTCTAAGAACAAAGGGTACACACTAACACACTAACTAGCATATTTTATATTGCAAATAAATTGCCTTTTACCATTTTATTTATTAACTGCAAAATTTGGTATAATGCACTTCTTGCCTCAAGCTTATTTTAATGTTATAAAATACCAATAGTTTAGTAATAGGCTACAGCACATACTGAGCTCTGTGATGGCCTCAGCTCTCAGCTTTGACAATTTGCTGGATGTCTTTCCCTACTCTTCTCACCCATTTTGCCCTTAGATCTACCCTGTATGGTCTAAAAATATTCTTTATTTTTGTGATTCAGGAAAAAGGAAGTGTGCTGAAAAGGCCAAACATGTGCTTAAAGTTCTTACTGACCTACTGGGACATGAGAAACATGAGGTAGGGAACACATAGCACTAAAATAGAGCTATCATTTGGCGAATTAATTTGATCTACTCTTTATGCATGTGTGTGTGTGTGTGTGTGTGTGTGCGCGCGCTTGTGTGTAATTGTTGCTTCTAAATAACCTAATTCTTTTGATGTTGGGTATAAAGTTTGATTTGTTTGGTACAGATTCGACCGTATGTCAATGGAGCCTTGTATAGTATCCTGTCTTTACCCTCTGTGAGACAGGAAGCCAAAGAGATGGTAAGACAATTTAATGATTGTCACATCATAGAGCAAGGATAAGTAGGGCAGTATTCCACAAGCAAGGAGCAGTTTCTTGTTTAACCATATCATTTTCACTGTGGAGTGTCTATGCTTACACATTGTTTATCTTCTTTCTTACCTGTTTTGTACTTTTTAGAGTGTTGATGAGATTCTCTATTGTTATTGCAAAGAGGATGATCCAAACCTGAACAGACAGATTGAGTATATCATCCAACAACTCAATTCAAGTATGTCATGTTTTTTTTTAATATGTCTATGTTTTAATATTCATATTTTATTTTATATATTCTTCTATTTCATATGCATTTGGGATCAATTATAAGGTGCTTATTCTGTTTATTTCTCTATTTGATTTAAAGGGACAGTTTGGAATTTTGGACATAGGGCCTCATTTCCTAGTGAGTCAGAGTACTGTAGACATGTGGAGACACTTTTTAAAATATTCCAACCAGTCCTTGTATTTAGAGAGGTTGCTGGTGCTAAGCTAGCGCATGTCAATGGCCACTGTTAGCCCGCCACTAAAAACCCACTTACCCACTCCACAAAACACCCAAAGGAGATCTATTATTACACCTGTAATAATGTCCATGTGTAATGTCCATGACTGTAGAAGTAAAACCAGCCTTGTATTTGAAGGATTTACATCTGAGCAGCAGCAGCGAGTTGTACTTCCTGATAGAAAGCTTAGCAATGGCGGACTGATATCACCTAGCACCTACCTTACCGGCTCTGTAATAGTTTATTTACCTGCAGCTGCCATAACAACACATAGAGCACAGGAAGAAGCATGTTCCAGTTATAGCCACGTTCATATCATCACAACTAACTAGAGCAGAGTAAAATTTTGCTGCTGCTGAGAAAATAGTCGCTAAACATGTGACGATTCATGCGACACAACTTTAGTTTTATTTCTAAAATTATTCTATCAACACAGACATTCACATCAACAGTCTGGTGTAACAATAGATTTGCCTTGGGTACACTGTGGAGTGGGTAAGACTGTTTTTAGTGGCAGGCTAACAGTGGCCATTGACATGCATTAGCCTAGCACCAGCAACCTCTGCAAATACAAGGACTGGATGGATTATTTCAAAAAGTGTCTCCACACATCTACAGTACTTTGGCTCACTAGGAAATGAGGCTCTATGTGCAAAATTCTGAACTGTCCCTTTAATCTACCGTATTTATTTTGATTTAGGTCCTATAGTACTCAGAATTCTCTCTTGTAAACATCTTAATATGTTGTTACCTCATCAGAAACATCAGAATTGTGTTTCATTTAATTCACACATGTTTGAGTAACCCTTCATTATTAGCCTGTCTACATCTTCAAAACTCAAAAATTATTCTAGTGAAGGTGTATGGAGGTTATAAACACAGTGGAGTCAGTTTTGTGTAATATAGGACCTTCAAATCAAATATATAAATACATACATAATAAATGCCTAGCGATTGACCCCTTTAACATTTGTCCTTACTGTTCTAATCTAACAGCTGAAGACGAAGGGTCGGAGTCAGAGGATGAGGAAGAAGAGGATGACAGTGATGTAAGCACAAACAATGGTCTAGTTTTTTATTTTATTATGGTGGTCTCTTATGGTCTCTTCACTTGTAAAAAAGAGTTAAAACAGATGTCAAATTCATGGTGCATATCTGGCTTGATGATGATGTATAATGTAAAAAATGATGTTTTGTTTTCATGTAATAGGAAGATCTGATGGAGACAGGCCTGGAAGAGGAAGTTGTCCAGCCACAGTTAGGGGAACTGTCTGGGGAGAGTCTGCTCACTACAGAGTACCTGGGAGTAAGAAATATTTAAAATAGCAACACTCCATCCAAACAATGGCTCTGTGTATTTTCGTACAAAATGAACACGTTTTCACTTGACCATACCGTTTACCATTTGTTGACCTTGAAATCTAGCCCAGCTCTGACATTGATATTGTATAATGCTTGCAGAAAATGCTATGTAAATAGATATTGCAGCATTGGTTTTTCTATTATTCATGCTTGATGGATGCTATATAGGATTTTTACTCCTCATGACATCATCTGTGCAATGTTCTAAACAACATTCAGTATTTTTGTTTTGTCTATGTGTTGTTTAGATTATGACCAATATGGCAAAAGCTAAAAAGCGATCTACAAATCCACAATTTAGTGGCGATGAACCCCTACAGCGCCCTGTCACTCCAAGACAGAGGAATTCTAACCTAGGGTATGTGTCCCAATCTAATTTGCTCTTTTGATCAGGAAAGTTTTGTTTTTATTAACTGTCTAATCCTGTAGTATTTTGACTTTCATGCATAAATCTTGAATACTCTCAGGTTACAGCTGAAGATATCTTTTTGGGTTTGTGCTTTCTGCCTGTGTTGAAGACAATATGGAAATGGCTCATTGTTCTACTGACCCCAATATTGTATTTCATATCAATTACTGTCAGATAACTGCTATAGGCCAAAATAGATGGAGTAGTTTTGCTCGTGATGACCATGACTAAAGTATAATTATATCGGTATGAGTCATTATTATTATTATAGCCTGATGGCCCCAAAAGTAATCTTTAGACATACAGGTTAGTATTTCAGTCTAAACCAGAAACAATATATATATTTTTTATATTCATACAGTTGAAATAATGCCTATGGGGGCAAATTATGTCATGCATCATGTGACAGTTTCAAATGTAACAATCTGAAACCATAACATGTGTAACTTGGTGAATTTGCATGTGTATCTTATTTTGAGGAATTCCAGCCATGGAGTTGACGGCCAAGACAGCCTCCCTCCATCTCGCTTCAATTCCCGACCTCCCACGCGCACCGGCAGCCGCCCCATGTCCGCTGAGTCCTTACATCAAAGCACTGGTCAGTACACCTGCATGTAGGAACTAGAACTAGAGATGCAACAGCTAATCAAAATAATTGTAATTAATGACCAAGCTGAACTATGCAGACACTAAAACAAAAAGAAAATGTGTATTGTATTTGTTGTAGTTTGTTCTGTGAAAGTAATTAAGTTAAAATTAATTCATATTGTAAATATTATACACTATATATGTAATTTTAGGATTATGAAGAATTTGCTATTTCTTATTTCAAGAAGCTCTCACCAGAAGCTCTAGTTTGAAAGTGGTTCAAAGTTAATTAAGAATTGAGCAAAAGAATCATTTGTTGCAGCTCTGGTTAGCTTGTCAGAAAGTACTGGTTCAATTTAAATTTGTATTTTTCTTTTTCCTTAATTTATTTTGTTGCAGATACTGAAAGTGTAAGATTTTCCCAGGATATAGATTTGGATGCTCTGTATGAAAGTCGTACCAGAAAAGGACTGGAGGAGCAGAATGGAGAGAGGTAAAATGACCCTCGAAAACACTGTTCTGACATTATAGACCTGTCAAGTTAAGTAGCACAAAACAAGCTTATAGTGCCAAAAGTTTCACAGTATTACTGTAAACATATATAATTTATAGTACTTTGTGCTGTAACTTTGTATCTGAAATGAATATATTTTTTTATTGCATAGTACAAAAGTAACAGATTAGTATACACATTAACATGAACCTCCTCACCTGATTGCATCAAATTATGAGGCTAATACAGATAATGTCATAATATTATCACAACTGGATATAGCTTCATCCCTGGTCTCTAAATGCTCTAGATACACATATTTTCTGTATCAAGTTTACTATGTGGGTCAGAGTTATTTGTGGGTTGGGGAGGTTGGCAGGCACACTCCCTGATGGGTGACTCAGCACTGGCCAGCCGCTCCATGCGCCTGTGACATGCGTTTAAACCAGCAGTGGCCACAAAGGGACCCATTCAGGCAGACCTCCCTGACTCCAGCCCTTCTTCAAATCCCAAAGGAACCCGACTCCTCAATCTCACCAAGAGTAATGAGTCTCAGGAAACTGCTTCAGTCATCCCTCCGCTGCTCCCCCAGGAACGCAAGACCATACTGCCATGCAGCTTGGCCAGGTCTGAATCCAGTCTCCTGATTTCACCCCACATTTGAATGACGGAGACTTGAGCGAGATCAACAAAGAAATCAATAGAATCCTAGAAACACTGCAATTTGGCCCAACTCTCTGGAACTACTTCTTTGTGCTTGTTAGCAAAAACACAGCTGTTCCTTTGGTTGCATGGACAGAACTCACACCTGGAGTGGCAACCAGACTATTTTCCAACATCAAAAGTTTAAGATTAGTGAGGAGAGGGAAGACTGGGTAGTTGACATGAAAATCTCATCTTTGTATAAGGTCGCAATGAATTTCAAACCCATTGTGAACGTAATGGTGTATTTGTCTTAACATTGTTTAGAAAAGTAATGACCAATCCTACTCCTGTTATGTTCCACACCCTCAACCACATCAGACTTTGTGTCCTTTAGCCTCTCTTCTTACCGGAAGAATGGTCATAAGAATTAATGGGCATATCTACTTGCCAATGCACAGCAGCACTTATAGCAGTGCATCTAAGGAAATCACTGTGGATCTGCCTCTTCCTGTGATCCAGTGCATCCATTTTTATGACCTGTTCTATCTGCTGTTGTACTCATGTACTGTGTTCTTATTTAATATCTTCCAGTATATCAGACATTTTGTAATGTCACTTTATTGTCTACTCTCTATTCAAAAGTCTACTTGCCCTCCCTTTTCTTCACACTGGTCAGATCATTTGGTTGAAACAGATTTTATCTTTTACTGTGTAGCCACCGTGACTCATATGACAAAGGGACAAATGATTTTTTTCTGAAATTAATCCATCAATTATAGTATAGGATTGACACAGTGGAGACAAGTCATTGAGAATTATGCCTTTATGCTCTATGAATTTTGATTCAGAAATATCAGTAGATCTGGGGGACAGACGCCGTCACAACAACAAACAAACATGGTTGGATGTATCTTTTCATTTTGTCAGTGGGTGGCATTATTATAACTGACTGATATTAGAACTGATGAGTACAGGCACCTGTTAAGTCCTTGTCCCTGAGGACTTGTGCTCTGTTATATTGGGTTTCGTGTCTTTTTAGAGGCTTGCACCTTTTTCAATGAGCCCTTTAAGCATAAACAAAGATAAAATGTCCACAGTGTTCTGGAAATCAGCAAATTTGTGATTATACTCTTACTTCCCCAAGTGTAGTATTTCTATTTCTCTACTTTATGTCCACAGGGATTATGTTCCAGCATTTGCGAGTCAGCCAAAGATTCCGCGCACACCTGATGGCTCATCACCACAGAGAGGATCCAATCACAGCCGTGGCCTGGCACCTCATTTCTCCCACTGTGAACCACAGCAAAGCAGACCCAACTCAGGCACCTCCAATGAAGACAAATCTCAGATAAACCCAAGTAAGAGTATTAATACAACACTATTACAACCCTCATGTCTCTGCTGAAACAGAGAGACATATACATCAATATATACTTGTATTATTTTTAAATAATATGAAAATTTAAATAATATGAAAAGCAAAATACATAAATGTAGATCCATTGTAGATCCTTTAATTCCAGTATTGGTATACAAAATAAATGATCAAATATGTGAGATTTTAGCTCATATAATAGAGAATAATGTTTATTCCTTCAACTGGATCTATATATACTGCTCAAAAATATGTTGGATATCTATACAAATACAGACAGGGCAATGTCTTAGGGCAATGGCACTCCAGGGTGCTGGATGGTGAGCACAGGGCCCACTGCAGGATGTGGCACCCTCAAGCCACCCACATGAAGTCTGTTTTTGATTGTTTGGGCACTCTGTAAGGCACGAGCAGAGCTCAGCCTGTTCCTCCTTGCACAAAGGAGCAGATATGGGTCTTGCTGATGAGTTGAGGACCTTCTACAGCCCTGTCCAACTCTCCTAGAGTAACTTCCTGTCTCCTAAAATCTCCTCCATGTTCTGGAGATTGAGCTAGGAGACAGTAAAAGTCGTTGCAATGGCACATCCAACTGTGTCAACCTGGAGAAGTTGGACAATCTGTGCAATTTCTGTAGGGTTAAGGACTGGCTTCATAGTTCCAGTAGTGATAATCACTCTAGCCAAAACCAGCACTAGTAGAAAACCCCAAAAAAAAGATCAAGAGGGAGAAACTTGAAATGACTTCCACATGCAACCACAGTCCTGTTGCCACTCTAGTGCATCAATCATTTCCATTAAAAGAGGTGGCATCCTTTCATTTGGCATTGAGATCTAGTGTTTCTTTTATTTTTTAGAGCAGTGTATTTTAGTCTTGTCTCAAATAGTTGCTCTCTCTTACTTTGGATGCAATTGTCAAAATGTGTATATTTCTGGGCTGTTTAGATGATCAGAAGCTTTTCTAAACTGTTCTTTTCACAATATTGTTCACACAATACAACAAAAGAAAAGATCGCTCTTTTGTTCCCTGTTTTGTCAAGTCTTTCCATAAAATTACTCAGGTTCGGAAATACTGCAATACTACACTGGAGCTTTTGTGGTATTCTTTTTTTTTACTGTAAAGACACACAATATCCTGAAATTCACTGAGTCACTGTTAGATTTACATTTTTGTTTTGTCAGATAAACCTGATACACTTACTCTCTAGTACCTGAAATTCAAAGCATAATCATTCTTCTTTGATATTATGCCTTGATCTATTATATCTATACAGAGTAAAACAATGTAGAACAAAATAGAAAAAAGTAGAACAAGATTTTAAATGTTGTAATATTTCATCAAAGCTGTATCACATTTAAAACCACCTTTTCTTTTAACACTGTGTTTTAGCCAGATGGAATTATGCTTTGCGTTGTTGGCATATTGTACTTTGCTTTTTGTGTTGTTGCTTTTAGTTGGCTGATACCATCTCTCTATGCCCTCATGCATCTTAATTGTATTGGAGTATTGGACTGACTTCCTCCGGCTCTTATACTAGCTACCCTTATCATAAAGCCTGTAATAACACTTAATGGTCAGAGCCACCACTTCCGCTGAGTGTGTGTGGTACTTCTGAGGCCTGGCAAGTGTCAAACATTTATACTGTAGACGCACCAGGAAGTCACTTAATCCCACTTCACTTCACTCAAAACGCATTAGAGACGCACACATGACATCTCAAACAGAAGATATAAGTGATTTTTCTATTGGTGTGTTTCTGCCAACTGTCATGTGCGATTAAATGTAATGTTTTCTGCTATCTGCCTAGGAGAACACGCCGGTTTCTCATCCGAAGACTAGGACAGACTTTCACCAGAGGGGGTGTAGATAACTGGCCCACTCATTCAGGCAATGAAAAGCAGAGAGGCAGCAATTGACCAAAGGATTTAGAACAATATAAATATGTGTTCATATATCTATTATTTGGTTTCCATGGTCATTTGTATTAATCATATGTTGGGCTGAAATGGGAAAGAGCAAATAATAATATAGAAGTACGTATAACTAATTAGTACAACATTATTATTATAAAGATGTGATTTCTTGCGCTGGGGAGGTCATTATTTGCTATTGTAACCAAGTGCAAGTTAATCAATCTCTAAAGACCAAATCTATAATCAAATCTAGGTCTATAAAGAAAGGATGGGCGATATATCAGCTCCAACATAAGTCAGGTCTTCCCAGATATCAGTATCAGTTCAGTTATCAATATTGCACATGTATATTTTCTGTGCATCACATTTGTCTTTTTGAACAGACTAATGACAATGAAACGAAATGGAAGAGCAGTTAAATATAAAAAATAAAGATAAATGTTTTTTTTTTATATATATATATAAACATATGAAGGGAAGTTAACTAAAAGTAAATTGAATTAGTAGGGAAGATGTTGCTCATACCCTAATCCAAAGAAGTAGATCATGTACAACTCCCTCATGGAGTCTGCCACTGGATTTTCTTATTACCTCACATTATGTAACTGTCACCTGATGCATCTTGTAATACCTCCCCCTAATGTCCCTGTCTACCTCCCTTGCACCTCATCACCCCCTCCCTCCTCTCTCTCTCTCTCTCTCTCTCTCTCTCTCTCTCTCTCTCTCTCTCTCTCTCTCTCTCTCTCTCTCTCTCTCTCTCTCTCTCTCTCTCTCTCTCTCTCTCTCTCTCTCTCTCTCTCTCTCTCTCTCTCTCTCTCTCTCTCTCTCTCTCTCTCTCTCTCTCTCTCTCTCTCTCTCTCTCTCTCTCTCTCTCTCTCTCTCTCTCTCTCTCTCTCTCTCTCTCTCTCTCTCTCTCTCTCTCTCTCTCTCTCTCTCTCTCTCTCTCTCTCTCTCTCTCTCTCTCTCTCCCTCTCCCCTTCCCTCCTTGTCCTAATCCTGCAGGCGGTCAGTCCAAGAGGAGGTGAGGAGGGACCTGTCATCACAGAGCTCCACTATCTCCTCCATGGCATGGGACTTCCTGAAACCTCATCCCTGGCCAGTGGTGATCAGGGTCCGGGCGCAGAGACGGTCGAAGATCAGCCTCACCAGCAGGGAGGTAGAAGGGAGTGGGGTCAGAACAATGCAAAGGATTGTGGGGGTTGCGTTTTTTTTTTTGTTTTTTGTTTTTTCACCCCCTCTGCAGCAGCGTAGACCTGTTCTGTAACTTTATAGTGGGTCAGACAATAATCACAGTCTGGAGCTGTCCCTCCCCCTGGGCCCTGTGTATTCATTCACCTCTGCCTCTCCATTCACAGAGCTATTTCCTGACTAATCTTCCGTTTTGCTAATTATTACCTTCATTTTCTAAGCTTTTAAGTGTCTACATATTATTTTTGTAAATTGCTGTGTCTTAAACTTGAATTTATTTATCAATAAGCATGCCAAGGATGTATGTTTTGATAACATAATCTTTATAGGAAAAAGGGATGTCCACATTTTTTTTCTTCTTGAATATTATTGTACATAGTGACAGATACAGATAATTATGGTGACTGATAAAGACTTAAGTTGTTTTTAACTTATGCAGTAGGAATGTTTACAAATGACACAGGTCTGCACTGACTCATGAACTATAGGAATCATATGCTGCATATATACCAATATGTATATACCAATATGTATGAAAGTATATACCGATATTTATGAAAGACTTGTTATTGTTGAGATGAAATATTTCCACGTGTTGACGTGTATAAGTATAGTTTTTAGATTTTTTTCTACATAAATCCTGCCATTTACCGTAATTCATTATGGTTGTAAATAAAAGTATGCCACATTTTATTTTCTTTCAAATGTATTCAATTCTTAATGTCTACCATGGATTCATACATTTTATAATAAATGCACTAAATCACACTTGGTTGCTTATTGAACTGGTGTCACGAGCCCAAACAAGAGCAGTACAAGGAGTTCTACTACAGGCAGGGGAAGGGGATAAAAATTAACCCCTTTGGCAATTTGGCAATAATTCCACACATTTTGCACATGTTATGACATGTGCGTATTGAGTGTCATATGTTACAATATGTTACACCTGAAATGAAGTCAACCATTGAGAGCTTTATTAAGAAATAACAGCCTTGTTCAAATAAATCCAATTATTCAAATACATCAGATTGTTCAAATAATTCAGATTGTTCAAACTGTCCACGTGTATGAATAACAAATATGACAAAACCCCACAATAATTCCCAGTTTGTCCTTTTGTGAGCTTGTGTATGTGCAATTACTTTTATTTAAAAACTCACTGTTTAACTTCTGGAGGAGGGCCTGTCACCTGCTTGCCTCTCCATGGAGATGTTTTCAACAATACCTTGAATAACATTCTTATCATGGCAGGGTCACCTCTCCACATATCTGACCTGCAACTTGGCAACCAAAAAGAAAAAAAGACCTAAATTACTGCGGATTAATATTCAAGGAACTGAGGTTTCTGAGTTCAATATCTATTTTCAGGCCAATATAGCTTTTGCAAAAAAAATTTTTTTTACCAGGATTCTGTTCACAGAACACATTTTAAACAGATAAAGAGAGCATTAACTTGTAAAAACATATTAAAATACTCTAAACTATTAAACTAATACATAAACTCAAAACCTGTGGTTAAAGTCATGTACAGGTTTTACACACATTGTCCCCACAAATACACATTCAGTTTGCTGAAGAGGACGCAATTACCTGAATAATAGAAATCGTTCCAGTTGCTAATCGTAGCCATTCAAAAAACAATTTGACTGTGAATAATCTCAGCTCTATAAATGTTCACTCAACTCAAAGCAACATTTTCAATTATTATCAACACTTTGGTCTGCATTACTACCAATACAATCTTGTAACTGCAACAACATATCCCATACAAACAGTTTTCGACACTTCAACGGGAAATATAGCCAGCCTTTGCTACAACATTCTGACCATCTTCCTCCCTGATTTCGTCCCTTGTGCCTCGACATATTTAGCATTAAGCGAGTGAGGATGATGTCTGGGAGTACGAATACAATCTAAGGAAACCACATGCACATGACAGCACTGACGCACTTGGGGCCAGGTGGCTGTGTAACCCTTCGCTTCATCCACAGTCTCTCTGTCCAGCTGGAGGAAACTGCTTCTCTATCCAAACAACAGAGCAGATACAGACTAGCTAGGAGATGGTGCTCACAGGCATGGGAAAACACACTTACAACACCGTTTAGCACAATGAGACGGCCCTTTAAGAATGTTTAGAAGGTTGTAAAGTTTTAATACGCCACCAAGCTAGAATCTGTCTCTCGAAGTTGCAAACAGAAGTGGCTGATGCCCCTGGAGACCCTGACTGACACAAATACTATTCAGATGGGTTTATCAGCAGACAGCCATGAGTATGACTGATAAATGGTGACGCCAGTGCAGGGGAGACAGCATTTCCTCCCCATCAGTCCTTTAGAACTAACAAGTCACCCTTTATTTATTGTATTTATAACCCATATCACTGTATTCACTGATCTATGTTTTAATGTTGTTTCCTCACAAAACATACCTGGTGATGTGTTTTGTTTAATTCACACATGTTTAACACGCACACACTGTATATTTGGGCTAAGCTCTTAACACTGTTCTACCTTGTGATGTCAACAGGTAATACAGGAAGTGCTCCACTGTTTTTACTCCATACAACTAAAAAGAATCATCTGGATCATCTCAAATCTGGAATTGCCAATCTCTACTGAATAAAAGGTAAAATGTAGCTGTTAACTTGAAAACTACTGCTACATGCTATCAGAAGGTGGAACAAAGCATTTTGAGCTTTGGAGATATAGACAGACTTCTACTCAAGGGCTACTCAGACATGTGAATGAAAGACAAAACAACTCCAAGTATATTTTTTGTGTAGGTAACAACATTATAACATAACTTAAAGCTCACAACAGTCAGTTTTGCATAATATAGTACTTTTAATAGTTGAGTAAAACTAATATAAGTGGGCATTTAAAAACAGGATTAAAATTATATTGTGAATTTAAAAATGTGTCCACGTCTAGTTTGGATTATTTTATTTACTGTTGGTGCTATCTAAAATATGAATTCAAACTTGTCCTGGTTTAGTCCTGGTTTGAGCCTAGTTTAGTCCTGATGTAGACTTGGTTTGGTTCTGTTGTAGTCCTGGTGTCATCCAGGTTAAGTTGTCAAGTTCAAGTGTCAAGAATTTAGTCACTATTTTGGTGCAGTGTGTATTAACATAGTTTCATTTGCTTCTGCTTTCAATACTTAAGTGGTTTTCTTATTAACACTGACAGGAGCATCGCTGTCAATTCATAGACTGATAGTTTTCACAATTTAACTTTCTTAACATTCTTTTTAGTTGTTTAAGAATACTTGTACTGAGTTACTCAACTCAAATGTCAGTGTTCCGCCTTGACAACAACATTGCAGTAACTAGACTAAATACTTCCCTCTTATTTTTTTTATTGATTAAAACCTTATAAACCTTTTACCGTATGCAGCATCTTATACGAACACTGGTGGATTTCATTGGTGGTAAGCACACTGTTAAAAGTAGAATGAAGAGGTACGCTCACACTCCGGTTTGGTTCTGGTTTGATACTCATTTTAGTGCTGAGGTAGAGTTTGTTTGGTCCTGTTCTAGTTTTTGTTTAGTCTTTGTTGCTCTAGTCCAAGTTTTGTTCCTGGTTTAGTTCTAGTTTAATCAAATTTATGAGTGTAATCTTTCATTTTGATGTGGTGGATGTGTGAGTGTCTATTAGTAGTAAAAAACTAGGCGTTTATAAGAAATGAATCAGTTCATCTGAAAGGAAATTCACTTTTTAATGGCCAACATCGAGCCTACACTTGCTCACCTGTCATCTGAAAACCAGTGTCTTTTGTCCATACCCCTATTTAACCATGTACTGCTAACCTTAAAGACTGTTTAGTAAACACTATAGCAGTGGAGGAAGGTGGGTGTTTACCTATTGCTTCAGCTGAAAGAGTCATCCATAACAGACCTGCTCACATCCCCTTTGTTCTGAGGGCCCTTTGAGAGAGCAGCATAGTCACTTGACAGCTGCTGGAAACAAGGGGAGGGGGAAGGTGTAAAAGAAGGAACAGGGAGGCAGACAAAGATCCCCTCTGGCTACTTTTTTCTTTGGAGGGCTGTAAATTCCTTCATGGTGACTGAGGAACAAGACCCCCCCTTCCAGCACACACGTATCTGAAAAGGAGGTGGGACACAGAGAGTTTCTGACACTTATTCCAGGCAGGTAACAGATAGAATGCATGTGAACTTGTTATAACAATAGATTCAGAATCAATCTCAGAACAAAGTGAGCATTTTCTTTTCCTCATTGATCCTAAGAAGATAAGGTGTTGTGTATGTTTTCCATCACTTTGACATGAAATTTAATACAAATCTAACACAAAGTACTATATAAATTACCAGTTCTTGTAAAATACACACTCAGATGTACACTACCACTCAAAACGTATTCTAAACTTTTGATTCATCAAAGTGTCCACCTTTGGCAGATGTAACAGCTGAACACACTCATGGCTCATTCTTTTTACAATAGAAATCAAATATTCTTCAGAAAGTTCTTCCCAAGTCTGTTGCAGAAGTTCCCATAAATGTGTCGCCCTTGTAGGTCCCTTGGCTTTCACTCTTCTATCCCGTTCATCTCAAACCAGCTCGATTGGGTTTAAGTCTGGAGATTGTGCTGGACACTCTGTGTTTTCAATCTCACCATCTTGTTCTTTTTTCCTGAGGTAGTTTTGGCAGAGCTTGAACTTATGTTTTGTTATTATTTATCTTTTTTTTTTTTTTTTACTTCTGGCTGTTCAGTACTTACTTTTGTACCATTTCAAGCTCTACATTGGATTTGCATGACTTAAATTGCAATAAATAACTAAATAGTAAATAATAAATAATAAATGACTGGTAGTGAATTAACTTATAACTATACATTAGTAATTAAAGTTACAACACCTTTACTTGTGTGCTGTGAAATCAGATACCTTTAGGATCTTTAGGAAACATTATTCTTTAGTTAGATTTATTTAGATTGATTATTTAGCTTATATTTGTTTGCTTCTCTTCCTGGGGTCCATAGCAAACAAAAATAACACATCAAAATTTTAAAAATACTACACAAGCATTTATGTAACCAAAGATTTTAAAATATAGCCAAACTTGTTAATTTTAGCAACAGACATTAAGGGTGTCTAACTGGAACCACAAAGTTTTTGCACTGAAATCTGATTCAGACTTCATATAGTTTCTTCTACAGCCTGGCTATAAAACCTCTTCATATTGTGATTCATGATTTGATTTTCTGGCTTTGATCAAAGTGTACAGTCTTTAGGTGGACATTCTATGTCTAATAGTAACAGTGTTACTATTTATTTGCAGTCTGATAGTGATGAATTTTGATTTTTTCACAATTTCACTTGAAAGGGGTATTTGTTTGTACTCAACTATGTATTATAACAGTTTCCATATGATCTACATCAATCAACTATACACGTGGCATATTTTTAAGCGCTTTTATTTAAACTCGAGTTACTTAGTTTTGTCCAACATTCTCTTTACTTAACTGCATATTTGGGTTACTTCTTTCACCAATAGGTAATCCTTTCCATAGCCTCACAGGTAGTCTTAAGTCAACAGTGGATGGAAAACTTCCTCTTCAGTCTATTGTGGATTCCATCTTACTACTACAACCATTGTCAGGTCTCGTAAATATAAATAAGAGATAACTGTCAGTAAGTCGTCTGGTGGTGGGGCCTTGTTTATAGTGAATATGGGCCAGGTTAGATCATCTTACCTGCCAAGAACGCAGCGGATGCATTCTATAACAGGTGATTGTTGAGAGAAAGT